GCTGCAAATTGTCGAATAAAGCTGCATTGGACCTCACACAATTGTCCATCCCTTATTTATGTTTCTTGTACCTGGGAGTTTGGTCCCCTCTGGGCCATAAGATCTGCACCTATCAGTTTCAAACAGACTGAGAAAAGTTTAACAGTGAACCGTGAAACAGAGCCTTTGAAATCCAGACTCCATAACTACACATTTATATGGTTATGATGCCCAGTGTGTCACTTTATTGGTGAGTGTAATTGGATTTCATGCAGAAAACACTGGTCACTTCCTTGTCAGTGATTATTAAATCAGGTTAGGAAGAGAATGGTGGAGTCTGCATTGTGTCATTGGTTGTCTATAATAATTGGTGCTTGCTTTGCAGTGGTAAACCGTAGACTTACTCAAATGTGCTTTAATATCTTTCAAAAAGTTGTGTGAAAATAGCTGTTTTAATAGCTTTGCAATCAGAATATTTCTCTGCCTCTAACTTCCTGCCCCCTCAAGATTGGATGCCTATGCAGTCATAAAGCGATTGGTAGTATTGCCCCCATTGCAATGAATAATAGGGTAAGCCAGTTGAAATGTATTAAATGAAAATGAATCCTAAATTGCTGATCCATTTGTTAATGGATCAGCACAATTTATTCCTGGCTAGGTCAAATTTCAGTTCATTTGTGATGAGGGTATATTTTCTCAAATGTTCCATTCTGCACCAAGACCAGTTTCTTGCACAAATACCTGTGTACATTAACGCACTCACTTTTTTGTTAAGTAGAAACTTAATATTCCCAACTCATTCATTCAAATCAGTTAAAGGGACTCTCCAGTGCCAGGAAAACAATCAGTTTTCCTGGCACAGCAGGTCCCCTCTCCCTACCACCTCCCATCCCCGGTTGCTGAAGGGTTGAAAACCCCTTTAGTGACTTACCAGAGGTAGCGCCGATGTTATGCATCGTGCAGTTATGAAAACTGCAATAATTACAGTTGCAGGGATAAGGGTGGAGTTGGCACCCAGACCACTCCAATGGGCAGAAGTGGTCTGGGTGCCTGGAGTGTCCCTTTAAGGGGAATTTGTTTGGGGAAATTATTCTTTCACCTTAAAATTTTGAGGTTAAAGATTTAGCAGCATGACCTGAAAAGTGTTAACAGGTAAAAAAAAAAAAAAAACAAATTTATCAATTACTGAATAAGTTGTAAGCGTAATTGTAGCTGGTATAGGGTGTCACTAACCTCCGTGTTCTTTAACTATTAATTAAAATTAATTGTATTTAGCATGACCGTTATACTGAAGACCAACGAATGTATAAAATCCTGCAACAAAAAGAATCTTTATTTTGTAATATGGTGATTTTTTTGTGTGTGAATGTATAGATGCTGACATTAAATATACATAAATAAAAAAAATAAACCTCCCCTTTGATGGATTGCATTTTTATTTTGTGTATTGTGGTTTGTTTTTTATCAGGTTTTATTTGGCTATAAAGTTTCAATGCAGGGTTATTTACTAAAGTGAAATTTTCCAATGAATTCAAAGTGAATATCAAATTGAAGGCCAGAGTTGTAGAATTGTTGCAGCAGTTTAAAATGGTCATGACAAATACAACAAAAAAAAGTTGTATTTGCCATGGCAGTTACATTTTAAATGGAGGATGAAATTACTTGCAGGGGCCTTAGACTCTTTAAAATGCCCACCTCTGACAGAGAACAAAAACAATTCATGGAGGAATGGTATAAACATTTAGAGAATTGTTCAACAGGTTTAATGAGTATTAAAAAATAGGTTTGTCCCCATTCAACGATTATGAACAAAACTCCATAATTCAGCCCAAAAAAAAATTGAGATGGAAACGAGACATTAAAATTAAAAATACATTAGATAAGCAAGATTAACAATAGATTAGAACAGCGGTTACAAAACTGTGTGCCACAACAGGCACCGCAAAAGGTTTCCCCACAAATCGCCGGGAAACATTGCTGGTGAACAGGTGGTCTTAAAGGTTAGCCTCTTGCTGCCAATACTCTTCAGCTATACACTGTATTATTACTTCTTGTATTATATTAGAGCAACATGACATCCTCTAAGTGCATACGTTTCTTTTTCCCCACTTGTTTCCTTTTGTAATCTCATCAGCAATGCACTAGGTTCCTCATGTATGTTATTTTAGTTTACAAAAAAAAAAAAAAAAAGTGCAGTTTTACCGAAATGCTTTGCAGCTGTTCTGCTATATCGTCTCACTGCTTGTAATAGCTGTTGCGGCATTGCAAGGCTGTTTGTACTACTACTATGCACGACAAAATTAAAGAATTATACAACAACAAAAAAAAAAAGATACTTAGATCATATATATATATATATATATATATATACATACATATACATATACACACACACACACACACACTGTCTAGGTGTATTTTACTATTAATATATATGATTATATATTAATATCAAATTACACGTAGACTGATACTGATTAAATATATAATTGTTATATATATATATATATATATATATAATATAAAAAAATAAATATGTAAATACGTTAAAAAATTAAATTAAAAAAATAATTAGATGTTATTTTGTTCTAACTATTGTGATAAATATATATTTATATCAAAATACACGTAGAACTAAATATCTACATACATATATACGTATATATCACTATATATATATATATATATATATACCTATATATAAAAATATTTAAAAAATATATATGTATATATTCACATACATATATTAATTCTACATAGATATTTCTGTAATATTTTTACATAATTGGGTATCTTAATTAATTACAATTAGCGGGACCTGCATGACAACCCATGCCGAAAGTAAAGGGAATTTAATTTGCTAGCACTATATTTAACCCTATAACTTTCCAAGACACCATAAAACCTGTACATGGTGGGTACTGTTCTACTCTGGAGACTTCGCTGAACACAAATATTAGTGTTTCAAAACAGTAAAATGTATTACAACGGTGATATCGCCATTAAAAGTGAAGTTTTTTGCATTTTTCATGCACAAACAGCACTTACACGGACGATATTATTGCTGTGATACTTTTTGCTGTTTTGAAACACATATTTGTGTTCAGCGAAGTCTCTCCCGAGTACAACAGTACCCCTCATGTACAGGTTTTATGGTGTTTTCAAAAGTTGCAGCGTCAAATATAAGGCTTGTTTCATTTTTTTCACATTAAAATTCGCCAGATTGGTTACGTTGCCTTTGAGACCCTATGGTAGTCCAAGAATGAAAATTACCCCTATGATGGCATACCACTTGCAATAGTAGACAACCCAAGGTATTGCAAATGGGGTATGTCCAGTCTTTTTTAGTAGCCACTTAGTCACAAACACTGACCAAAATTGGCTAAACACCTTTAGCCTGAGGGAAAACAATCACAGCATGGGAAATAAGGAACATTATGTGTGGTGGCAGCAGCATGAATAGAAAGAGACAGAATTATGAGTGCTTGGGTCAGGCAATTTGACAATAGAGAGAGTAAGAATTAGCAGTTTTACTGTTGGGGTCTTTTCACCTGTTCCCAAACAGGGCTATGCAGGAGAGTTTTTTTTACAGCAAGTGTAACAGGCCCAACTGAAACATGATTGATGGTCTCAACAGGAAACCGGTAAGGATTAAAATATGATCTCTTAATAGTTTTGAGAGAATAGACACTTAATTGCACAACATGAGTCAAGCTGGATGGTAAGAAAACAGCAAACCTATACCGGTCATGACGGTTCATTAAAAAACAAAAGCAGTGCAGTAGTTACATCTAAGTTGTTTGATAGGACTTTTGTTTCTGCCAAGCAGAAATCTATTCTAAGTACCGTATATACTCGAGTATAAGACGAGTTTTTCAGCACATTTTTTGTGCTGAAAACCCCCCACTCATCTTATACTCAAGTCACTGTCTGTATTATGGCAACTTACATTGCCATAATACAGACCAGGACCACGCTCCGCGCGGCACTCACACCGCGAGACTTACAGTGGGAGCTGACCGGACGAGAGAGAAAAGAGCTGACAGGAGCTGCAGGAAAGGTAAGTTACAGCTCTCAGCCAGCCCCCCCCTCCCCTCCTACACAGCCCATGCCACTGGACCACCAGGGAATGAGAGCCCCCCCCCCTCCCTGGCCATGTATCAAGCAGGGAAGGGGACAAAAAAAATTATAAATAAAAAATTTAAATAAATAAAAAAATTAATTAAAATAAATAAAAATGCCCACCCCCAACAAGGCTCTGCATTACACAAACTGCACTCATACAAACACACTGCATTATATACACACTGTAAATAAATATTCAAATAATTTTTGGGGATCTAATTTTATTTAGAAATTTACCAGTAGCTGCTGCATTTCCCACCCTAGTCTTATACTCGAGTCAATAAGTTTTCCCAGTTTTTGGTGGTAAAATTAGGGGGTTTGACTTATATTCGGGTCGACTTATATTCTAGTATATACGGTATTCCTTTTCTATGACAATGTAATTTGTTTAAGATGTCATACTAATTATTTAGCCTGTGATGACCTACATAGTCTCGTACAATTATGTCTCCTACATTTATAACCCATAAATATTTTTAAATATCTGTAATATGATTTTTTTTTTTTTTTTTTTACTCTTGCCTATTTTTCTGAACAGTCTCCTTAACAATAGAACATCCATTTGGAGTTTTAGTTGTATATAAGCTTCCAAACTAACCAAAGATCTGATTTGGATGCTGTTTACAGTTCTTGAGCCGAACAGATAATTAGGTAATATTTCAAGAACACAGACATGAATACCTAAATAAATTCACCATAGAATGGAGGCATGGTTGCACACACTTTTTTCTGACTAATTATATGACTAAAGAAACAGGATTCAGAGTAAGAGGGTACAGTCTGAATTTGGAGTGTGAAGACATTTGTAAAGTAATTCTTGTAGTGTTTTAGTTTTAGGAGCACATTAAAGGAATTCAAAACAAGAATTAGGAGCTGAAATAAGAATGAGATATTGCAATGCACAAACCCTATGTTTCACATAAACAGAGTCCAGACCAAAAGAAAGTGATGGCTGTAATGTTTATTTAACGTCATCCTCAAACAAAATACAACTATATTCATGAATCAGCTGAATAAATCGAGGATTCAATGCAAATCGAAATATGCAAAGAACAAACCCACCAAACTTACCAATTTAATAAAGGAGAAATAAAACACGTAATTCTGGAAGACTGACAATGAACCACGGGCGCTCACCATCCAATTTACCAAAACAATGTCTAAAACATTATGGCTAAAGAAGAGAGAGAGTTTAGGGACTTGTAAACTCCGGTGTCTGTCTTATGTTCATGCTTGCTTTCAACTTTAAACCTATTTTTCCTGTATATTAAATTTCGGCCTTGCATGGTTCTCTACTAATTAGAGATCCTGCACTGCAAATCACATTCTCTTAGTTAACTTAGGCACTTTGATGAAAAAATAAACAAATAAAAAAAAAAATATATAAGTCACTGGTTCACAATATTTTACGAGTGCTGATTCTGCGACAGTGAAAGGATTTTTTCAATCACTAACAATAACTCTGTATTATCTATAAATTTACTGGATTCCTGCTAGGAAAACAATGGCATAATTTCTTGCATTTAGCAGGCGAACAAAAAATATATATATGTATATATATTTAGGCATACACATACATGGATACGTGTATGTGTTTCTTTGTAAAGACTGAAGTCTGGTTTAAAAAAAAAAAAAAAAAAAGTCAATCTTTTGTTGAATGGCTGTTTAAGAATAAATCACAGTCTAATGTCCAGAGACGGTGACAGGATCCTAGCTTTGTCCTAAAAGAAGAAAATATAAACATTTAGCAATATGCAAGGACAATATAAAACACAATATAATAAGTATTCTCTGATCAGTTGACCTGCACCTTCACCATTAATATAAATTCTAGCATTTATATCAGTGGAGGCCCACAATCAGTAATAGAAATATCTAGAAGAAATACACACAAAAAATATCACACAATGTAAAAAACTGTATATACAGTGCCAGTGTGCCTCTACGGCATTGAAATAAATCATGTTAGCTGCATTTAGATGTCCAAAGGTGAAGGCAAGGGATATTCAAATTTATTGCAAAGATATAACAGGATAAAGCCAAAGTAAAAAAATATCAAACTATACAAATAGGGAGGTGTGCCAATTGGTAAAGTCAATGTTTTCTACCAGATTCTGAGTCTTCTTTCCAGTGCGTCTGCTTAGAGACTTCTTTTTGGATTAGTTTGGCCAGCGGTGAGCTTTACTTTACTATTTACGGTACTCTTTGGATATACTATTGGAACTACAATTTTATTAAGACACGGAGGCTCCTATTATGCTGCACTCTTTCTTTATTTCCCTCAGCAGCAAAGAAAAAAACTTGATAAACATAACCAATAGTAACATTAACAGTCTCAGGTGTAATCTTCCTAGTAACAGGAACAGCCAATCAGGATCCACTTCTCCAGCATAATAGGCTCTGTCAACCAATCCTGTTCCTCTTTCTTTGCTGCTCCCTCAGTTAAGTATATCTGATCCCTCAGGCTCCTTAACTGTGGGATTAGTTTTATATTGAATTACTTTATATTGAATTACTTTCATATTATATTAATATTTCCTAGCATTCATTTCATAGTATTGATTTTATAGCATTAATTTTATAGTATTAATTTTCTAGTGTTAATTTTTTATATGTGTTACTTTACTACCTTTTACTTGGTATAATTGATGTGCTACTGTAGAAAACGTTTCTAGGGACATCCTTCATAGTTGTCCCTTTATTATTTTATTCTGCTGAATTTCCCCTTTACGTTTTTTCCCCGCTCCAACCGATCGTCCCTCAGAGCCTAATTTGCAGGGGCTCGGGGACGTCGGCTGGAGCCGCACCCGGCGCTTCGCGCCCTCCTGCCATGCCCGACCGCCGACTACAGAGCTCACTTATCAGCTCCCTGCTCGCGGCGTACTTGTGCGCGCTGAGCGCTACACTTTTTGCCGCGAGCAGGGCTTACCGGACTCTCTGCCTCCTCTGCACTGCTCCGGCGGCCATTTTCTGTTTTTCCCGCGCGCGGCACGTAGCTCCACCCCCAACTCCCGGTCCTCGGAGTTGGGTTGCAGCTACAGTGGCGGTCGGACGGCTCCTTGCCCCCCTCCTCACCTGTCTCATTTAATTGTGCTTATTGTTTTGTGAGTACTTATTTTCTTTTAAAGGTATATTCCCCCTTTGGGTTACTCAACCCATCTAGGTCAACTCAGTTCATTTATTTAAAGGGCCAGTGGTATACATAACATGCCTGGGGATAAAGATGTACCCTCTGGGTCTCTTATCAATAATTTGGGGTCTGTTAAAACTACCCCAGGGGTACCTGAAATTGGTGCAACTAACCCAGCTGATTTTGAATCTACTGCTGATATGCAGCTTATGTTTGACAACACCATGTCCCATGTGGTGACTAAGGCCCTCACATCAGCAATGGGACTGATGTCTGAATCTCTGTCACAGACTATTACTCACGCTATACTTGGGGCACAAAAGTCGACCCAACCGGTCGCTTCCCAGGCTTTGCCTGCAGTAACCCCTTCCCAACCTCACGTTGGCCGCAAGGCCACTGCAAAAACTAAACACTCTTCAATCTCACAGATGGACAGCTACACACCTGTCACAGATGGCGCGCCTAATATACCACCGCGCAAAAGAGCCACTAGCCGGGCAAAATCGGCTAGGTTATGGAAGCGGGCAAAAGCCCAACTAGAATCTGAGTCTGATCTCAGCGAGATTGAAGAGGTCACTGATATGGATTCGGAGGATCCATCAGATCCCCAATCAGAGGGTATGGTCGACGACCATGACCCGAGTACACAGATTGCACCTCCATCTGAGTCGTATGACATGGAGCTTAAAGTGCCAGACGATGCCACCAGATTAGTTGACCCCTACGGGGAACCTCTGTTCGACCCCGATGACCTACGTCATCCAAGGTCAGCGGACTGGTCACCTTAGGCCGATGTGGCCAAATACGTGGCATCGCGGACTCGCAAACCTTTAAATAAGGTGACACAAAGCAAATTGCGGGCAGAATGCCCACGCCCCACTGTCCCTGACGAGGCCTGCAGAACACCTGCAGTTGACCCAAAAATCATTCAATTCTTGGGCAAGACTGGCTGGAAGCCTAATAAGGGCCTTGACTTCTCCCTGCGCAACTGCCAGGACAAGATTTTAGACATATTGGGCCCGGCAACAAAAATTTTTGATATGGTCGAAAGTGACCAAGAATTAGATCGTTCCGCCATAAGTGGTTGGATACAAAGAGTGATTTGCCTGATCGGCAATGCCAACTGTGCGGTGGCCACAGAGCGTCGCAAAGCGATTTTATTAAAGATAGAACCAAAACTGGTGAACATGGCTATAACCGAACCGGGCGCCCAGGCCCATGGCCTCCTGTTCGGAGACAACTTTGTCAAGGAGCTTGGCTCCTTTGTTCACACTTTCACTGCCCTAGACAAAGCGCAGTCAAGCATGCGCAAGATTTTCCAGCCAAAGGTTTTTGGTGGGGCCGGAAGAGCCAGGAGCCGTCTGTCCGGCCGTGTCAATAGGGGCTCGTTCCGACAGAGCCGTGGCTCCTACACTGGACATGCCTCCTTCACGGAGCACCGCAACGCCCCGGTTTTCTTCCCACAACGTGGGCGACCATGGGTGGCTCGGGGACCACGTGGCTCCCGCCCAGGCAGACGACCTTATGGTAAGTACTCTCCTGTTTCCTTCTTCCCTATGGGCAGTGGGGGGCAGACTCCGACATTTTTCCCATGTATGGTCACACATCTCGTCAGATGCTTGGGTACTGAACACGGTCAGAGGGTACACCTTAGAGTTCATATCCCTCCCGATACAACTCGCCCCGCCACGGGGCATGCTATTTTCTCACCAAGACGCCTCCCTTGTAACCAAGGAGGTCGCAGAATTGGCACACAAACGGGCCATCTTAGAGATCCCCATGGCTACCCCAGGGTACGTAAGCAACCTATTCTTAGTTGCCAAAAAAGGCGGCGGCGTCCGCCCAGTTATCAACTTGAAACAGCTCAACACTTTTGTGGCCTACAACCACTTCAAAATGGAGGGCATACACTGCCTCCGAGATCTCCTCCAACCGTTGGACTGGATGGTCAAGTTAGACCTGCAGGACGCCTATCTTACGATACCAATCGCACGTCAGCACCAGGACTTCCTCCAATTCATATGGCAAGGAAGGAAGGAAATGGAGATTCACATGTCTCCCTTTCGGTCTGTCCTCAGCCCCATGGTGTTTCACCAAACTTATGAAGCCCGTGGTGGCTCTGCTTCGAAGTCGAGGGGTTCGTCTCATAATCTACCTAGACGACATCCTTATCATGGGTCGTTCCAACCACATTCTCGACACCCATCTATCATGGACTCAGACTCTTTTGCAAAATTTGGGTTTCCTTATCAATTGGAAAAAATCCATCCTAACCCCTACACGACACATAGAGTTTTTGGGCCTCATCGTGGACTCCACTCTACAGACCCTACAACTGCCGGCAGCGAAACTGTCCACCATGAAGAAGGAAATCAGGCGTACTCTGACGACCCCCCTGATCTCCCTAAAACAATTGGCGAGAGTGGTCGGCCTCTTGGCGGCTTCCATACAGGCCATTTTCCCGGGCCCTTTACACTATCGAGCGCTACAGCGCCTACAAGCCTCCCATTTGAGAGACGGGACCGCATACACGGACATGATCGCTCTGGATACAGAAGCAAAGACAGAACTCAGATGGTGGCTATCCCATATGGACGCCTGGAATGGCCGAGCCATTTTCGGTACCGAACCGGATATGATCATAGAATCCGATGCGAGCTTGCACGGCTGGGGCGCACGCTGTGGCACTGTTTCTACCGGTGGCAGGTGGGCCGAAGTGGAGTCGACGCTTCACATCAATTGCCTAGAACTCCTGGCCGGTTCTTTTGCAATCCGCAGTTTTTCTCCAACTCAAGCCCGATGTGCCATCCTTTTGAGGATGGACAATGTATCGGCAGTCCGTTATATAAATCACTTGGGCGGCACGAAATCGAAGGTCCTGGCGAATTTGGCACGAGACTTGGCAATTTTGCCTGGCACACGGCATTTCGGTCACAGCAGAGTACATTCCGGGCCTCAACAATACCACGGCGGATTGGTACTCAAGGCACCTCAGGGATTCCAGCGACTGGCACCTGGAACCCAGGGTCTTCCAAGACATCCAGTCCCTATGGGGTCCTCTGGACAAGGACTTGTTCGCTTCCCGTTTGAACACCCAACTCCCCAGATTTTTCAGCTGGAGACCGGACCCGGCAGCGCTGGCAACAGATGCCTTTACTCAGGACTGGTCCTCCGAAAGGAACTACGCGTTTCCTCCCTTTGCGTTGATTCCCCGCTGCCTACTACAACTACGGCGACAGACGGGAACGGCAGTGCTCGTGGCGCCATTATGGCCGTCTCAACCATGGTTTCCTTCCCTGTTGGAGATGGCGATAGACGTACCCCGTACTCTCCCACACTTCGAGTACCTACTTCGAGACCCGGACGGGTCCCCCCACCCCCTGGTTCAGCAAGACTTATTACACCTCATGGTGTGGCTGATTTCCGGGAACCCTACTCAATCGAAGGAGTTTCGGAATCGACTCTCCAACTTCTCGAGAGCGCATGGGCACCCGGCACGAGACAAGCTTATAAATCTGCTTGGCGCAAATGGCACGATTGGTGCATGGAACGGAATTTGGATCCCATATCAGCTCCTCTGACTTCGATCCTGCAATTCTTAACCTCCTTGTTTGAAAGCGGCAAAGCATATCGCACGGTGAACCTCTACAGATCGGCCATTTCAAACTCACACCAAGGCATCGAGGGCGCACCGATAGGACGCCATCCACTATGCCGACTCTTGCGCGGCATCAGATTCACAAGACCTCCGCTACCACGCTATTCCGTACTATGGGACGTCTCCATCATCCTCAACCTCCTCGAATCTTGGCCAGATAACGCAACACTATCTCTGAAACACCTGTCGGCGAAACTGGTTATACTACTATGTCTCATATCCTGCAAACGGGTATCAGACGTTAGAGCCTTAGACGTCACCGCACGGTCTTATACTCCGGAAGGGGTCGCTTTCGATATATCTCGGAGAACAAAAACCTCTACGAAGAAGGTGACATATCCAGCCTTTCCTGACAAACCTCGCTTGTGTCCGGTTCAATGTCTGCGAACCTATGAACTTCGCACCAAGGCGTTGCGGGACCCGTCTAGGCATGAACTCTTCATCTCCTTCCAGAGACCACACCTACCTGTGTCTACCACGACCCTGGCTCGCTGGGTCAAATGGATCATGGCTACGGCAGGCATAGACACTTCCATATTTTCGCCACATTCCATACGAGGAGCAATGGCTTCAAAAGCCTCTTCGATGGGTTGTCGCCTGGAAGACATTCTGAAAGCAGCCGACTGGTCTTCAGAATCTACCTTCCGGGACTTTTACTTCAAACCAATACACCACTTTGCAGGAACGGTAGTTTCTCAGCTTTAAACCAGCATAATAGGAGCCTCCGTGTCTTAATAAAATTCACAGATTTTACTATTACCATGACGTAAAGTCATGATTTTATTAATGACACGGAGGCGAGTATTATCCCTCCCACCCGGCGACGGGGGAAGGATAGACGGAAGTTGGGTAAGTTGACCTACGGTAAGTCATTTTACCATGTCTAGTTGTTACAGTTGTAATCGCCAGATGGTTACATTACAGTTGTACTTAGATCAAGGTAAGTCTTAGTTACGATCACTGCTTACCTATCTGGACACCCACATGTATAGGTTACACAACAATACTCACTTGGACACAACACTGACCAAACACTATCTTGAATACCTATGACTATGCATACACTAAGTTTTATGCAAAGATATTACCATATTTTTCCTCTCTTACAGCATAATCTGCCCATCTATTCCGGGAAAATCATGTTCTATGCAGTTCAACGTTTTATTGGATAATTTTACTTCTTCGGGATTGCAAATAAAGAGGAACAGGATTGGTTGACAGAGCCTATTATGCTGGAGAAGTGGATCCTGATTGGCTGTTCCTGTTACTAGGAAGATTACACCTGAGACTGTTAATGTTACTATTGGTTATGTTTATAAAGTTTTTTTCTTTGCTGCTGAGGGAAATAAAGAAAGAGTGCAGCATAATACTCGCCTCCGTGTCATTAATAAAATCATGACTTTACGTCATGGTAATAGTAAAATCTGTGAATTATTTGGCAAACCTTCGGTTTTTATGGTTTGATATTTTATATTCATATTGGTTTTATCATGTTATAACACTGCAATAAATTTGAATGTCCCCTACTTCCACCTTTGGATCTCTGACTGTGAAGGAGATTTTTACAAGCCTGTACAGGCACCCTGGGGTAGAAAGATATATACATACAGAGCCTGGTACGACTCTGGGTCACGAGTGTGCAATTTTACTTCCTATTTATATTACGGTGTTATACAGGTTTACAGATGCAATGATTTTATTTTTTGTGTGTATGTGTGTGTTTCTTCTAGATAGAGTGTTTTTTTTTTCCCCCTGCTCTAACAAATGTGAGTATGTTTACTACTTTTTCATATTAACAGAGAGGACTTACAGAGAGCAGTATAGGTTGTTCCATCACACAACAGAGTGGGCATCTCTACACTCTGTTGTTGTGTATTCATAATTTTGGAACAACAATACTGGTCTCCTCTGTCTGTGTGTTCCTTACATGTACCCATTGAAGAAGACCCAAGACGCATACGCATCAATGCAGACTGAAGAAAATTTCTGGACTTTATTTTCCTACGGTTAGTATTTATTCATTGTTTAATAGGCGCAACATGATTTTGTTTGTCTGACTTTGTCTTGTATTGGGTTACTGAAGTATCTCCAAGTTCAGTTTTTGCTGCCTATGGTTGATCCCCTCTAGAACTATTAGTGCTTATCCGTTCTTTGTCCCTTAACAGAAAATGTATCCCATGCTCAGAAACTACACCAGAGGAAAGAGACGTCTGTGTGGCTGAGGGACTGTATGGGGTAAAATTCAGTTTAATTTATACTGATATATACTAAAGGGAGATTCATAAAAAGAAAGAAAAAAAATGCAAATAGTAATATGGGACAATCAGACTAAAATGTATAGAATGTGCCTATAAATGCCACTACTTTATAGTACTCTTACTATACAACAACCTGCTGAATATTTTTTTGTAATACAGGTTTCTGTTACATTACCTTTTTAATAAAGATGTGCACAACAGAATTTCGAACACATGTCTTATTTACCATCTGGAGATGAATTCAGAAAAAGTTCTAAGTATCCATGTTCTGGGGAGGAAAGAAGGAGAGTCAAGTCACTATACCTTTAAGGGGATTAGGTAAGGAGAATTTATCATTATAATTATGCATAGACATACAGACATTTGCAGATAATAAGTCTAACCCTCTTAACTGTCAAGGGAAGTTAAACGGACATTATAGTCACCAGAAAAACTACAACTCAATGTAGTCATTCTAGTGTTTACAGCATGTCCCTACAAATGGAGCAATGAAAACACCGCCTTTTAACATCGCTAGTAGCAGTCACTCAAACTGCCACTTGAGGTGCTTCCAATGTCAGTGCTACACTATGTGGAATTGCTGAACCCTACCCATTAATATGCATTGATTCAATGTCTATCTACGAGGAGATGCAGATTGCCGCGCATACGCAAGAGCCTACCAATGCTTTCCTATGGAAAAGGATTAGATTGTCTGATATCATCAAGTTTGATGATCACCGCTATAGAGGAGGGGCCAGCTGCGACAAGACCAGCAAAACGATGGACAAAAGGCAAGTTTAAAATCACGTATTTACTGCATTGAGGGAACCTGAACAGGTAATCCAGTACATCGGAAATGTGTTTAACCCTGCAGTTTTAAAGAAAGATTGTGTTAGGGTGGGGGTAGGAACCACTGAATACCTATGCTCTTAACTAAGTAGGAAAGTGCTGCTCAAGGTTTGAGAGTCTGAACAGGTGTTCTTGAGGACACTGTGCTTTTTCCCTTTTACCCGCTGCGTTCTGAGAGGGATATTGCTGCAGCTGAGGAAGTATTCTGCTGCTGCTTGGAGCTGGGCTCACAAGGTTATTTTTAATCTCTCACCTCCTACATATGGAATAAGGGAGACAGTTCTGGTTATTAGCAAGTAAATGAGTCATTTATTTAAATTGCTTATATTTTTGTTACAACAAGATGCTTGTTAGCAACCTATTCAATCTGTGTGCTGTAATATTATCAGGCCATAACTAGATTTGCTCCAAAACAGATCTACTTACGTGTATGGCATCTGTTTTTGGCCATAGCAGCTACAGCGTCATCATGAGTCAAAAACCTCACAATCGCCTCTCCAGTAGCACCTCCAGCATCTGCACTGTACTCAATGTTGATCTTTAAAGGCATTACTGGATGAAAAAACTGCAAACAAAAAAAATAAAAAAATATTGCGTTACCATAAAATTCACACAGATGCAAAATCTAAGTATCCAATCATTGCACCTTTAGCAGTTATGGAACAGACTAGTGCGCAAAGATAACCCAACAATAACTAACGCACCAAAGCTCGACAGTCCTACTATAATGTTATGTCGAAAAGTAATAGGGAGGGATGTCAACAATATATATTTTTTTTAATTCAGAATTTATCCCCTGCAGTTGCACAGGTGGATCATGCTTGCAGATCCCTCAGGCAGCAACAATAGAAGAAACTAAGGTACATTGCATGCAAGTGACCAAATGGGTTGGCAAAAAGCACACTGATAGGTTTATTCACTCAAGCATCAACTGTCAGGCATCCAAAGAAACCAAAATTCATTGAAACGTGATCCCAAAATAACTGAACGGCAAATATAACCAAATTGGAGTTTTTGTTTTTTCTTAATTTCACTGTGAATAACTCTGATAGTGATTAGACATTGCCAAGGTTATTCTTTTGGATGTTTGAATAGACTTTTTCCTTTCCTGAGCTCAGAACCAGCAGCTGTACTGGAGTCACCAGAGAATGTTCAGAGAGCATGGGTCAATTGCCTGCCGTGTGTATTGATGGGGACACAAACTGCTCCCAAACAATATCACAAGCAATATGGTAGCAGTGAGAGGACCACAAACATTGACATGACAGCCAAGAGCAATATACACTATAAATATGGTTGTGTATACAAGCAAAGCTGTTACAGTCCTATAAAAGTGAGCAGCATGTATATCTTCTGCAAGTAAGAGAAGCTCAAATTGGGAGATTAATGTAAAATATAGAACAAATAAACCATGTACACAAAGATGCAGTGTTGCTGGGATTCATCTACTACAGTTCTCTGGTCATTCTCTCAATGATTATCAATTGCTGCATATAAAAAAAAAAAAACCACACTCAGCACATGTATGTGTTACAGCAGTATTTTACTTAGAGGAGACTTTTGGGGACATACATTTGCAATATCCTGTCCGGAAGCATGGAAAGGGAGGCCCCGAATGTGGATATCATGGATAGGAGATATCACTGGAAAATCATGAACATCCATTGACTTTGAGGACATTTCCTTTACATAATCTGAAAAAAAAAACAAAAAAAAAACCACACATTAAAATGAATAAAGAGTTCTGTTCTTTTAAAGTTGGTAACACGTTACATGCTACAAAATTTGTCTTCATATGTAAGCAATAAAAACCGAAATATTTCTAAGCATGGAAAAATTAAGCCTTTACTTGACAATACATTATATTCACTGCAGGGTATGATGAAAAAAAAAAAAAAAAAAAGTACATAGATAAATAGATACAAAATATACACATTTTAAGATGCATATAAACTTTTGACTGTACAGCCTAGAATATAGCTTAGATGAAACAGGGGGGGATATGATAGAAACATTTAAATACATAAAGGGAATCAACACAGTAAAGGAGGACACTATATTTAAAAGAAGAAAAACTACCACAACAAGAGGACATAGTCTTAAATTAGAGGGACAAAGGTTTAAAAATAATATCAGGAAGTATTACTTTACTGAGAGGGAAGTGGATGCATGGAATAGCCTTCCAGCTGAAGTGGTAGAGGTTAACACAGTAAAGGAGTTTTCCTGGCACTGCAGGTCCCCTCTCCCTCCCATCCCCCATCCCATGTTGCTGAAGGGGTTAAAACCATTTTTGTGACTTACCTGTATCCAGCGCCAATGTCCCTCAGCGCTGGTTCAGGGTCTGCCCGACCTATTGTGCATGCGCGTCCGCCGGCGGGGGGAAACCTAATGCGCATGGGCTGCAAAGCCGCGCATCCGCATTAGACCTCCCCATAGGAAAGCATTGCGAAATGCTTTCCTATGGGGATTTCAGCGACGCTATAAACCCGGAAGTGCCTTCTAGTGGCTGTCTAAAAGACAGCCACTAGATGAGGAGTTACCCCTGCAAGGGAAATATTGCAGTTTATGAAAACTGCAATATTTACAGTTGCAGGGTTAAGGGTAGTGGGAGTTGGCACCCAGACCACTCCAATGGGCAGAAGTGGTCTGGGTGCCTGAAGTGTCCCTTTAACCATGCGTGGGATAGGCATAAGACCCTAGAGGGCACTTCCGAATATACATGCAATCTAAAAGGACTTGCAAGTGATATTCAATAGTTCAAGAGAGCCAAGTAACTATACACGGAAAAAAAAAAACACACACACACACACACACACACACACACAGAAAAAAAAATCAGTCATTGCCAAACTGCTGGACTGGGATGATAAAGACATTTGCTGACAACTGTATTTTGAGCAAGGTGTCTATATTCTATATTAGCAACTACATGAAAACGGGACTGCCAGCAAGATCAAAAGGGGAAGCAGCTATAATGAGGTAGAAATTAAATAAAATTTTTCTTTCCTTCAAAATGTGTTAGAGCTTCAATGTAAGAGTTTATCCCACAGGGCTAAAGTAAAGTGCAAAATTATCTAGGTAAAATAGACCAGCTGGTGTCAGGGCTAATAAATGTAAACATTATAAACAGGGTTACTCACTAAAGTGAAAATAGCTGAGAATTTAAAAATTTAGGTCAATATAGCCAGGTATGAAACATTCATACCTAGTAAATTCTGTTTTCAATTTGGCTGTTTTTGCCTTCATTTTAAAATTCTATAAATGACAGTTAATTCACATTTTAATGACTGATTTTGAAAGGCTTTTATGACTATTCACGAACACCTATTGCTTTTATACTAAGAGAAATGTTATGTATATTCTTTATAATTGTAGTTCTGAAAGTAACTATCTTCCTAACAGAATTTTTGATTCTTCAAAACCAGACTCTTTGTCCATAAAGATAATTAAAGAAATTAAATGACATAATTGCATAAAAACATTTCTGTATTTATAAAATTAAAAAAAATCAATGAGGAAAAAAAAATATAAAATATATATATTCCTTTCTTACCATTCATATGATCATTATCAGGTGCAACGTCTAGTAGCATGTCTTTACTACTGTTATTTACAACGTTGTCCGGGTCATATAGATCTTTAATTGTGGGAGCAAAAGTTACACCTTTCCTTCTTCTGAAAGGAAAACGTGCCGTTTGAATTTCATTCCTTCGACTTGGAAATATCTCAATGTATCTGAAAAGTTGCAAAGCATTAAACTTACAAAATATTCTGAAATGCAACATACATTCATGGAAAGGATTCAAGGCTAAATATCAGCTTGATGGAAGAGTACAAGTAGAGCAAAGATTATTTATAAAAGTTTAATAATTACAGCATTTTATTAAACTTTTTATCTGCCCATTCTACAACTAGAATTTCTGGACAGAATCCACATGAATTTTGAACACTGTTCTTTACAAAACACTGAACCAATTAAAGTGGATCTGTTTTGCCAATATTGTGCAAAGAACCATGAAGGCGGCATGTCTGCTATGTGCAATGCACTCTAGGGGTGAAGTTGAAAGTACGTATACTTTCTTGAAGCTCTTCCTAGTGAAAACTGCCAAATCTTATTTATTCAGCCCCTGGCACATAATCTGCCAGAAGCCACATTACAGCTGTACTCTCATACATGAGCAGGACAAAAAACAAACAAAACAACATTAGCGCAATTTGGTGGTTTATGCGCACAGTTCATGCACCCGCAGTCCAACAGCTCAATTCTCTGCCATTTACGAGTGAAATCACTTTGTTTATACAGACCTAGCCACATCTCCCCTGCTGTGACTCACAATATCCCAACACATTTCATGATAAATAGCTAGAGCCTGCAAATGCATTCTGTGTGTGATTAAAGTTCAATTAACAGAGCAGATGATTGAAAATTAAACAATTTTAGTTTAGGTAAGCTGTGAGTCACACCTGGGGGAGGTGTGGCTAGGGCTGCATAAACAGAAAATAAAGTGATTTAGCTCCTAAATGGCAGAGAATTGAGCAGTTAGTAGAATGCAGGGTTATGATCTTTACACCAAAACTAAACTGCTTCCTTATGCTAAAGTTGTTTTGGTGCTTAGAGTAAGCCTTTACAGTGGACGGAGAAGAGGAAAGCATAACTAAAGAGGGGAAGAAAAATGTGGTTGGGGTGAAACAATAAGGATGGGATGTTAAAAAGAATATATTGCGGTTGCTAAAAGGGAGTGAGAGATTAGTAGGGTCTGAAAGACATGGGGACGAGACTACTGATCTACACGTATAAATCTCTCTGTAGATTAATTCCACCCAGTACCTGCTTCCTATTTCCTGTTTATGTTTGAGAAGGGCTTGGTCCGCATGCTCTTGTGTAAGAAATTGCACAAATGCTTCACCAGATTTCCGACCTCGCTGATCTAAGACAAAAGTAATCCCTTCATCTGCAATATCCAAACCTGATAAAAAAAAAAAAAAAAAAAATTAAAAAAAAGAAAAATCCAAATTACATTTTTAGAAAAACATTTTAACACATCCCACATGGTTTGCATCCACACTTGCCGTTTTTTTTATGGTTTTTTTTAGCTTTTCTTGTTGCAGAGTGTTTGATTTAGAATTTCTTATCTCATGGTCTGTCAATAGCCTGTTAGAGCTCACAGCAGTCTCTCTGTGAGTGATTTGAATACCATTAACAGAACAGAAGAAAGGAACTCTTAAATAACACACACTTTGCTGTAAAAATAAACTTTTTTTTTTCTCTACGAAGGCTGTGCGACCCACTGCAAGGGGAGTTGAGGCTACAGCTGCGTAAGCAAAGTGATCTACCTCCTAAATGGTAGAGAATTGAGCAGTGATAATGCAGGGTTATGAGATATATATATGAGATATATATATATATACATACATACATACACACACACACACCATCACTTATTTAAGTTAAGCTAATGTGTGCAAGGAGTATTTCTTTAACTGTTAAATTGCACATGACATAATGAATTGACTTCATTCAGGAAAGCTCCTGGTAAGTGCTAAACATGATAAATCCAATATCCATGGCATAGCCAGGAGAATAACTTTTTGTTTAAAAAAAAAAAAAATCACATTTGATATATTGCACTTTTTCTTATTTCCATAACACATAAATAAAAAAATGTAAATTTAAAGTGTTGAAGAAAATGGGCACCTGAAAAGAAATTTAAGATATCCTGCTCACTGCAACTGTACGGAAGCCCCCGCAGCCGAACAATACCATCACTTGGGGGAGAAGATACAGAAGACTGTGTTGTCTGTGACATGGGGGACGGTCTTGTAGGTGACATAGCAGCATGCATCCGATTTAACAGAGACTCCGCTTCTTTTTGATTCATCTCAAATACTGAAGACGAAAAAAAAAAACATGGTGTGAGAGACATTGCCTGGAATCTGATTTCTGTAAAGTAACATATTTTCAAATCACTCTCCAAGCTTCATTTCCTTAATTTCAGATTGTCACAGTCTTTTATTTTTTTTTTTTTTTTTAACTGGACACAACTCAAAACTATTTAAAGTGAAACTGTTACTCCAGAGATATTTTTGGAACCTTCTCTGAAATGGCACTGCATGAACCATATTGCATTCATGAACCATATTGCAAGTTCTGGATGCTTATCTTTTTCACATCCAAAGAAGTGACCTCTCCTCATTCACACTATTACATTTACTTACACAAAATAATGTAAATAAAACAGCATAATTTGCAAAGTCCCCCGAAGGTGACCTGTTCCATTGCAGCTGCCATCAGCTTCCGATAGGTCCTCTTCAACTAATAGCACTTAAACTGCCAGTTGTCCACTTCCGTGCTGTACTCTCATGCATGTGTGAAAGTGCAGCACTTAGGTCTATAATGGATCACCGATATTTTTGCGGTGAGTTTTATTCCCCCTGTCGGTATTTCTAGACACACATGCATAACTATTGAACAATTGCTTGATAAAAGAGCGCTCCACTTTTTGTGAACTGAGGTCTTTTCAACTAACTTGGAGAAGGAGTTTTTGTGTCTGCTTTGTGAGGATATAAAATGCTGGTTCTTAAATCCTGGTCCAGAACCAAAAATTGGGTGTCCATGCTGTGTAGCCACAACTTTTGTTCTGTGTTCAGGTAATGTTTACTATAGCAGCATTACCTTTTTAAATGCAATGAAAACTCTCGTGACACTGGGAAAAGGATAATGGCAGTGCTAAGCTGAATTACATTTTCTTACATATTATAAGACAGCTGACAGATTTTACTGTAGAATGGGGTACTAAACAAATACTTGTATAAAATTAGCGGACCGGTTAAAAAACGTTACGAACCACTGCTTTAAAGGCAAACTCCAGACACTTAAGGTGCAAGGATACATCAAACAGAGTAACATGCAAAACATCCTGATTTGCATAAAGCCAGATGCATAGATTCAGTAAATCAAAACAACATTCACCTGCACGTAAGCTTCAACCCCCTTTTTACACTTACACGTGTAAAAGGTGGCACAGCAAACAAGCAGTGCTGCAGAATATGTTGGCGCTGTATAAATGCCATAATAAATAAATAGGTGAAGAGTGAGTAACATTTTTATTAACTGGATCTTCTATTCAGAAAAGTGTATTCACTTTTTGATTGATAAAACAGGAGGAGCAATTATACCACCTTTCAGGCCTCACAGCTAAGATAGTTTGATCCACTGTCTCTAAGCTTGGTCTCGCCTCTTCTCAACACACAAACCTTTACATTCAGTGTTGCAATTAACTTGCAGCCACCCAACACTACTAACTGAAAAATGTAATAAGGCATGCTGTACCTTGGTCCTTGTAGGGCACTTGTTCCTGTCTGGTCTCATGCTCTTACTTATGGCTGCAGCAATTTACAAAAAATCTCAATAGGTATGAGCTACCCCAAACTACTGGTGACATTGTAGGTTTATCTGGAGAAGCATGGCTTGGTACTGCATTCCCATTAAAACAAAATTGAAGATCAGAGTTGTAGAAGAAGCTTTTATCCAATTCCTGATCATGGCAGATTTGGAGAAATTTAAGAAAATGGTGTGATTACTATTATAGGAAATGGTGTGATTACTATTATAGGAAATGGGGTGATTACTATTATTTGAATATATCAGTGCTCTTTCCTCACAATAACTAAAACAACTGTAGCCAGGAGCGTCCGTTTATAAAGAAACCAATGCATTTCTGTCACTGTTTTTGAAGTACTGAAAATCAAAGAATGTTTAATCAGGATCTCTTACCTTCCACATAACGCTGGCCCATGTATTTTTTGTGCTGTTCCACAGCCTTCAGCACATCTTCTGCAGACTCAAATTCAATCACAGCATCACCTCTAGGTTTGCCATCTCTGTTAAAGATAAAGTGGACCCCTTCTGCACCATTTCGTACATTGCAGTCTGCAAAGAAAAGAGACATCAACTCAAATGTAAGACACTACCTTGGACAACCCATCTATAAAAAAAAAAAAAACTGCATCATTTTGCATGCAAAGTATGAGAATCTGACATAATATACTTTCAAAATCACACACATTTGCAGTGGTTACAAGGAAAGTTTCACATAACATTTCTTAGCTTCCATCATTTCATCTCAAATAGGAACTTTATTAAAAGAAAAACCAAGATGAGCATTTTTATGACTATTCTCTATGTACCAATAATTTTTAAAAAAAATGTTTTTTTTTATCAATTTCATAAAAGAAAACTTGAGATATAAAGGAGATAGAGGATTAAGATACGTGAGAATATGACTAGTGAAATATTTACCTGCTCATATTTAAACTCAAGGACTCTAAAGGCACAAGCATAGGCTCATCAGAAATTTTCTAAATGCTAATTCAACTTTGAAACCTAGGATTTGAGAGCTGCTGCGCCGTTGTGCTCTAACTAGGTTAACTGTCGCTTTACATGATCCTCCTTTCCAAACCATTCAGGAAACCTCTACGAAAATTCTTCCTAAAAAAGGCCATGAAAATTATTTCTCATTTTTCCATTGGCTGCAACTTCAGTGTAGCATTTGTTAAACTGAAGCCTCCATAAAGAGTCTTCCATTAGAGTAAATATTCCACTTTGGCTAATCTAAATCAAGGGACCATTTTATCAATGTTTAGTCAGAATGTCTGATCACCAATGGAGTCCAAATCCATTCTTTAGATGTTACAGTTAAATGCATTCAGTATAGATTACATCATTATAGCAAAAATTAAATGGACAATAACCACCCAGACCACTTCACAAAGCGGTCTGAGTGTAATGTCCCTGTCCTTTTAACACTGCAATGTGAAACACTGCAGTTTTTTTCCCCCAGACACTGCAATGTTCATATTGCAAAGTTAGTGGGACACTCCATGCTCCAATACTACTTTAATGCATTTTATACATTTTGGCCTCATTAATATCCTGTATTTATTTATTTTTTTGCATGCTCAAATCTTTAGTTTTTGCACAAAATAAAAATGTTTTGCAGAATGCTACACAACATAAGGCTGTCTCCTTAGACATGCTTTAGTAAAACTTGGTCACTTGACGTGGAAACCCCAATGGAAAGCATTGTTTCAAGGTTGAATGTGTGTGTGGCATTCACTGTGCAGGTGCCTTTTTTTTTTGCAAAAGGGTTTAGTGGAAGACCTGTATAGAGATAAGGTCAGGGACACCATAATGTTTGGAATACAGGTTCAAATAAAACTAGTGTTCCGCTAATAAAATGCTGCTAGACTTCCGTAGGAGTACACTTCTGACAGCTATAATATGCAGACAGATGGGTTTTTCATGGGGAAGAAATTTAAAAAAACATACCAGCAAAAAAGTTGAGTACGTCTTCTGCTGTGCAGGACCATGGCAACCCACGAACACGTACAATGAACATCTTGGTGACTTTTTGGGCTATAGATTGTGGATCATACTCTGGTAAGGGAGGATAACTGTCGTCTGGATATGGATTGAAGATACCCTGAAGAACGAAAAAAAGAAAAAGAATGCATTTAACAATAACAGATCTCACTGTTTATTTATTTCCCCTACCTCCTCTTAAAGAGAACTGGCAGTGACTGGTGCTAATATTTCATTAAGCAATATACAATTTATACAGCAATATATTTTATAGCTTTATGTTTTATTACCTACCCCCTCCTCCTGTCATAATGTCAATACAAAGGTGTTACAATAAATTTAGACAAACACATCCCAGTGCCTTCTACACCTACACACATTTGATTGGCCATGGTTGGAAAGTACAGCAATGCTTCCCAAAGCAGGGGGCTTCTACTCTGGCTCCAATGATGGAGCACTGGATCTGCATAGAGCATGTGCTACAGTTGTCCTAAAGATAAGTGGGGAATTATCTAGGAGAGAGTTCTCGTAATAACTGGTGCACAGGCATAGCACAACAAATATGTGTTTTTACTGTTGAGAAAAGGTGTATAGATTAAATTGCAAGCTCTTTAGTATAAGAATACATTCTATGTGCTGTAGGGGGTAAACACTAACATAATATCAATATCACTGAGCACATAATTGTGCAATGTACCTAAAGCCTGAGAAGAAAGGCTCTCATGTCAATACCATTTAAAGGAGGCTGATAATATTAAGTAAAACATAACTTAATTGTGATAGTAAGCAGACAGAATCTATTTAAATTTTCATTTACAGGAAACATATGCCAGCATAAAAAACTTCTATGATTAGTGTGTTCTAATAAGGACAAACAGCCAGTAGTGAATGCTTTGTGTTTTGGTAAATAGATATTTCAAATGTTTTACCCTCCTCAACTTTTAAATCCAGATATTCAGCTTAACTGAGCACCATAAGAAAGCACACTATAGAAGACGGTTTTGTAAACATGTGGCATGCACAGTCCTTCAATTTGATGTGATCAATGAAATGTCAGGTCACAATACAAAATCTGTAGGGACTTTTCCTTATTTACAACAAGCAGGTTGACAAAAGTTAAGGTGACTAGAGATGGATCTTTAGTAGAGCTCTACTGCCTTTGTCATTAGCTCTTGACTAAAGTAGTCACCTTCCTCCATTGCCACCGCATGTCCTGTTGCAGGACAGTGCATTTAATTCTAAATCTCGCGCAAGTCCAGTTATGGGCAAAGACTGAAATCCAGGCACCACCATCTTAGAAAATTGAAGATGGTGGCAGAGGAAGACGACCAGGAGGAACCGGCGATCAAATGGCTTGGGGAGGCATTAGGGGTCACATATGGATAAATCCCTCTACTTTTAGCTGAGGGATTTGTGGGGTTTAAACACTGAATTGACAAGACTGGTGATTTATGGGAAATTCTAGCACTCACCTAAAAGTCAGTTTGGATACTTAAGCCCTAATTTTGTAGTTCAGTCTCAAATCACTACAATTCTGTGTTGGTGAATAATCTCTTGCTCACTTCAACCTTCCAATTATGGCAAAATAATCTAATATTACATTAATACAGGTCTTGACAAATCCCAGGCGCCAGGTCGTCATGGTGACTAAATATTTTGTCTTGGTGTCTGGGATTGGTCAGCTTGCTCCCTCCTCCTCCTGTCTCAATGCCCGTGCAGGGGAATTGTAAGCTAAACTGGCAGGATACCAGGTAAACATGGCTCTGCTCCCCGCCTTCCTCCCGACCTCATACCTGCCCATATGTTGCATACCCAACCTTGCACCCCGCCCCCATGCCGCAAAGCCGATGGAACACCGGCAACCAGTCCTTTCCCCTGCATAACCTCAGCACCAGGGGGGAAGTTATTACAGTTCCCTTCACTTCCTCCCGGCGGACAGAGAGAGCTGCTGTGACGGGGGAGGAGGAGAAAGGAAGGAGTCTGGAACAGCGGCTGCCTACTCCCATCAGCCGCAGCCAGCCCCTTGCTGTCACTTGCTGCTGCCTAATCCCACTAGACACCAGGGAAGCCACCCTCTTGAGCCCAAAATGTAGGAAACAGGAGGGTGACAAAAAAAAAATTAAAAAAAAATTGTATTTGTTTATGTGTATGTATGAATGTTTGTGTGTGTATATATTTGAGTGTATTAATAGTACTTTGTACATGTGTCTGACTGTATTAGCGTGTGTCTGACTGTCTTTCACCGTGCATGTGTCTGTGTGTGTGTGTGTGTGTCAGTCCGGTTGTCCGTCAATTAATGTTTAGGTTACCATACCCCTCTGATCGCATGGGAAAGATGTTTTTACTCCTCTTTTTACCAGCGCCGTGCCGGTCTCGCCAGAGCTGGCCCGCCTCCATAACTAAGATCATCAACTGCCAGTCAGCATTTCCTCATAGAGATGCATTAAATCAATTAAAAGCATCTCTATGAGGAATGTGCACATTGTGCAGCACTGAGATAGGCGACACTTTAGTGGCCATCTGAGTGACAGCCTCTAGAGGTGTTACTAGGCAGCAAATTAAAAACACTACCTATTCTCTGAAAAGGCAGTTTTTATTTTGAAAAGTCTGCAGGGACAGGCTATAGACACCAGAACCACGGCATTAAACTATTAAACTTTAGTGGTTCTGGTGACTATAGTGTTCCTTTAAGAATTGTATTTTTGTCGTTAGGGGGGGGGAATGGCTCCTAACTTTTTTAACTGGCTCCTAAATTTAAAGCATATTTGTCAAGCCCTGCAGTAATACATCCTACATAACAAAGATATATTTCATGTAAATTTAGAGATCTACTCACCTCAGCTCCATTCCAGCGCTGCCCTCTTCAGAGTGTTGTTGGTATTGCTTTTCATGTAACACGTAACACCCACCTCCGGTCCATTCTCAACTCTTCTTTAATTTGCCATCTTGGTAACTGTTCCCCAAACAGGCCAACCGCCTCAGTGACTAGTCACTCTGTTCTTCTACTCCTAGCTATTTCTAGCGTAACCATGGTTGCTAAGCTTAGGAAAGCAGAAGGCGCACTCGTAGGTGTTTTTTTCTGCTCTCCCTTGTCAGTCAAATCTTCACCATAGAGCATTTGCCAAAGATTCACAGTTATAAAGGGTGAAAAAAGAACTTGACACGGAGTGGAGCTACTGTCGTCAAACCCCCAGTCGTCGCCATGATGGCTGCAGAGAAATGTACTTTATGGAGGATCCCACAGTCTTGTGTGATCCTCTATAGACCTCAATGCTGTACTCTCACACTATAGGAAAAGAAGATGGCGACACTCGCGAGGAAAAGGCTTAGGTAAATACCATCCTCAGGCAGCAATGTCACTGCTGACGGTCTTTTACAAATTATGCAGAGTCTCAGACGGTGACAGTTCCGCTTTAAGGTGAAAACAGCAGTCCCCTTCTTTCCAGGGGAACTTTGATTAAATAGATGTGTGTAGCAGATAGATTTATGCAATCATGATACCTGCATTAAAGCAATGTTGGGTTAGAATTAATTTTAATTTAAAACAAACTCTAAAAATATAAAAAAGGCTAAACAATAGTAACCCTTTTAATTTTCCAAAAATCTGAAAAGACAGTTTTTTTTTTTTTTAAAGCACTGTCAGTTTTGAGCGGATGACAGTTCCATTTAAAAAAAATGTTGTGCATAGATAATACATTTTACATATAAACTAGCAATGCCACAACAGCTGTTGCTAGTGTTTCTTAAAGTAATGAAGACAGTAGGAGCCCAATTCTGCGAGATTGAACTCAGAGTAAGAGAAGATGTAGAATGGAGCTATGTTAGATTACAAGAAGAATATTCCACTGGGTAGGTAGAGTAGATTTTTGTAGCCATGTAGTCAAAGCATATAAAGACTTAAAATATCAGGGCTGCACCTAACATGGTACTTATGAAACCAGTGAGAGAACTGCTAGACTACTAAAAAGGCTTCTGGACCACTCAGCCGATGCCAAGAGATGGCAAGTCCCATCTGCCACCTTTGTCAACTATTCCCAGGAGGCTTCCCCATCTGCTATGATAACTTGGGATCGATGTTGTGGCACCTTTGCTTCTCTAGTCACGTGGCTTAAAGTATATACCCCCCTATCAGACGGGCTGTACTGCAGGTGAAGAGGTTCGCAGGTAGAAAGGAAGGTCAGAGCGGTGGGTGATGGTCGGCCTCCTCTGAGTCCCCTTGGGGAGATGTGGGGAGCGTTGAAACTTGCGGCTTCTGCGCACAGGATGGCTGCGGCCGGAGCAGCAAGAGCACAGGTAGGTATCCGATCCTGGAGCTTTTCCCAAAAGCGCTCACAAATAGCATCAAATACCAGGATTAACCTGTCCACATGCGTATGTGTCTGCAGGGAGTTGTCTGTATCTGCAAGCCCTGGAAAAGCAGCCATTTTCAATGCCAGGCTTCGGACCTTCAGCTCACTGAGTAGGAGATTTCGTAGGTACAACCTTGTAAGTACACCAGTGCGGACCGGGATATCCCCCCCCAGTCTAGAGAACTGGGTGTTGGGTGGGAGACAGGGCTCGAGACAAGCAGGTTGCAAATCAAGGCCAAGGATCAGCCACCTCCCCGTCCTCAAGTAAACACCTAAACATGAGGTGCCGTGCAGGAACCTACAGAACATACTTCTGCAGCATTTGCAGATACGAGCAGTGACTTATTCTTATGTTGTCATGCATCTCCACGTGGAATCATCTTCTTATACTGTAGTAACTTCCACCATATATCAAGTTGTGCAATGGCAACTTCAAATACGATTTGTTTTAGTCCCTTTTTGATAAATCTGATTTTGTTTGATTTATAGATTTTTAAAACTTAAAAGGCTGTTATTGCACTTTTGTATACATGTTTAACTCAAACTGGAAAAAATGCATTGTAATTGCAGTGGAAGATTCTAATACAGGAACAATCACCATGATGACCAATGGAACCAGCAGGAATATTCCAAGGCAATTGCTTCTCTTCAAGAGCTTTGCCTTTAAATTCACTTTTTATACATATTCCCCACTGTTAAGTGATTATATTGAAAACTAGTTTTCAAGACTTATACTATTCTGTATATTGTGGCAGGAAGCAATTAATAAGTCAACCAATACACACCTAACACTTTCAACATTGAATAATAAGACTTTTAAAATGGACATCCAAGTATCGTGGTTCTGGTGCAAAGACAATGTCCCTGAATTCTATCCGTTGTAAAAACTGCCTTTGGCACTGCTGAAAGCCTTGAATACATATCACTGAATTTCATGCAATACACATATGTATCCCTAACGCTGCAGCGTTAAAGGACCACTCTAGGCACCCAGACCACTTCAGCTTAATGAAGTGGTCTGGGTACCAGGTCCAGCTAGGGTTAACCCATTTTTTAATAAACATAGCAGTTTCAGAGAATCTCATTGACAGCCACTAGAGACGCTTGCGTGCTTCTCACTGTGATTTTCACAGTGAGAGCACGCCAGCGTCCATAGGAAAGCATTGTAAATGCTTTCCTATGCGACCGGCTGAATGCGCGCGCAGCTCTTGCCACTCGTGCGCATTCAGCCGACGGGGCGGAACGGAGGAGGAGAGGAGGAGGAGAGCTCTCCACCCAGCGCTGGAAAAAGATAAGTTTAAACCCCTTTCCCCTTTCCAGAGCCGGGCGGGAGGGGGTCCCTGAGGGTGGGGGCACCCTCAGGGCACTATAGTGCCAGGAAAACGAGTATGTTTTCCTGGCACTATAGTGGTCCTTTAATGCCCTGTTTGTTTCAGCCTCCCCTAGCCCAAAAAGTGCTTTAAAAAAAATAAAATAGAAAAAAAAAAAAGTGACTAACCTTCTCTCTGACCCAGATTCTCCCTCTGTGCTGCCACAGCCTCCTCCTTGCTTAATTTCATTTTGGAAGTCTGCCTCCAGGATGATGGTCCAATCCAATGCTTCTCACAGAGGTGCACTGGGGACTGTAGGTGCATGAGCACTGCCTGCCGCAATGCACCTATGATTCTTTGGTAAAGAATCACTGCATTCAATAATCCTCTATAGCAGACCGCAACTGCATTGCACATGTGACATCTTAGTATGCAAGAGTATCAGAGCCAGGAAGCAACAGTCCCTGCTCTCATACTCAAATAGTGTTCCCTTAAGTCCCCAATGCTTCTCTATGAGCACTAGATTGGACTAGAAACCATTCAGACAGATGACCTCAGAAGACTTCTCAGTGTTTTAATGATGTGCAAAAATACTGCTTTTTATATTAAAATAGGAGGACATACTCCAACATTAAAAATATATTGTTAATGTCACAGTGTTTTTAAATCAGAAAAAAATGCAATATTTTTAATAAAAAAGACAATCCAATTTACAGTTATATATCACTAATCCTTATCAGAAAAACAGACTTACAAACAGAAAAACAAAAGCAAAAGTTGGGAGGTAAAATGTTATCAAGACTACACATGCCTCAATTAAACAACAGCAAGGTTAAGCCTGAAATACCTGTTGTATGCAATATGTAAACCTAACAAAAGACCTGGCACTCCGTTCATATTGTTATTATCCCTATATCATTATCTACACTTTTCCAGCAATTGTTGCACTACTAATTTAGACTCTACAGTCTAAATTAGTTCAAATATTGTAAAGTGCTACGGAATTTGTTGGAGTTGGCACTATAGAAATACAAATTCTAATAATATGAACTGGATCCAGAGACTAACATGAAGTCTAGAAGAAGTCTCTATTATGGAATGTCATTCTGTCTAGAATCCTCCTGAGCCTGCATCAGAGTGGCAGTCAGCATGGTAAATAAATGCCAGCTTCCAAGGAGGCAAACCAATTTGGGAAAAACGGTTTACCCACTTACCATGGCATGGTGCCACGGTACTCCTATCATCAATTATCATGGATGAAGTAACCTTCTACCAAGAAGATCAGGTTACATATGTCTGATATATACCTTCCTACAAGGTCAGTTTTTAAACTATCCCTTTACAATATAAACTATCAAGCACATATATCAATGAAGTAAGGGGATGTGAAAGCTGTAAAATAAAAAAAATAAAAACACAAAGCAAATATACACTTGCACATTTTATATAAAATCAAGGATGCCACTGCAAAAATAAATAAAATGTCTACTAATGCCAGTCAACCAGAACATGGTACCTCAAAATTGGGGAGAATTTATAAAAAGTTATTTAGGCCCAAGTTCCAAAAAACAAGTGGATACTTTTAAAACTTTCTGGCATGTGGTAAATGCACTTTTGGCAGCTGTGTGCTTTCCTTAGAGTTGTCATGCATACAGTTGCATGTGAATCATGGGACACTCTAGGCACCATAAATAAAACTGTAGTGATGATGGTCGCTGTCTGCAAGTAATATGTCATATTGTATGAATTTTAGCTTGCCATGTTGGGACCCTGCAGTCCATCCAGACAGTCACACCGGGTTTAGACGGTATTAATAGGCTGACAGTGTCAACTGGCGGCTCTCAACCAATGAACATCAAGGCAGACCAGAAGGCTTCAGGCACTTGAAACATCAAACTGGTGTAAACCGTCTTGGAGAATACAGGCAGATGGTGCCCAGGGAACCTCAGAAGCTTAAACTGGCACTGTCACACAGTATTTACCAGTACTTTTTCTCCAATAACTTTCACTTCTCTTTCTCTTCCCTACTCTGTCTTCCCTTTTATTTCCCATTTGTCATCTATTTCTAATATGATAGATGCAAAGAACTGATTGTCTATGGAGGATCCTGCTGTTTCACAAGATCCTTGTAGACCTCTGTGCTGTAGAGCAGAGATGTTGGCGCCCGCAAGGGATAGATTCGGGTAAGTAGAACTTTCCCTGCCCCTCTCAACCTCCACCCAGTGCTGTAATGGCTATGATACCTACACTGTCCACTAAAAAGTTCAAAAGTCACCTATTAGCTCACAGGTCTGCATTTTAGCATAACATAACTTCGCCACATGCAGTGAAAAAAACTTGCTCACCTAATTAACACACCTGCAAAATTATAATTATCACATATTGTGTCCAATTATTATAATTTATTATGCATACAAACTGACAGTGTACAGACAAATCCCCACAGAATGAAACTTTGGCCCATTAGGTATAAGGTTGAGCAAGATATTTTAAGAGTGGCATAGTATGTGGACATTGGATTGCTTCGGGCTGAGGAGAGATAAAAGGCTAACAAGTGACCTGGTCACCCTTTAACCAAGAACAAATACAATAAAAAAAAAAAATGCTATAAATGGAGGAGTAAGCAAGAAGTCTAGCAAGATCTGTCATGGTGACTCCTCCGCATGTAGTCCAGTACCAATCCCAGTTAGCCCAGTATAATGTAACCCAGCCCCATGCCCAGTCCTAGTTAGCCCAGTATAATGTAAGCCAGCCCCGTGCCCTGTCCAGTCAGCCCAGCCCCGTGCCCAGTACAGACCAGCCTTATTGCCCAGTCCCAAGTAGCCCACTGTAATTTAACCCAGTCCTGGTTGGCCCAGTATAGTGTAACCCAGTCCTGGTTGGCCCAGTATAGCGTAACCCAGTCCTGGTTGGCCCAGTATAGCGTAACCCAGTCCTGGTTGGCCCAGTATAGCGTAACCCAGTCCTGGTTGGCCCAGTATAGCGTAACCCAGTCCTGGTTGGCCCAGTATAGCGTAACCCAGTCCCGGTTGGCCCAGTATAGCGTAACCCAGTCCCGGTTGGCCCAGTATAGCGTAACCCAGTCCCGGTTGGCCCAGTATAGTGTAACCCAGTCCCGGTTGGCCCAGTATAGCGTAACCCAGTCCCGGTTGGCCCAGTATAGTGTAACCCAGTCCCGGTTGGCCCAGTATAGCGTAACCCAGTCCCGGTTGGCCCAGTATAGTGTAACCCAGTACTGGTTGGCCCAGTATAGTGTAACCCAGTCCTGGTTGGCCCAGTATAATGTAAGGTTAGTGAGCCCCGCCCTCTCGGTAGAGCCCCAGGCCTGTCGCGGCCGGTTGTTACCTGGTTGTTGCTGCTGCTGCTGTACGCCCTGTCCAGCCTGTGCCGGTCCTGCACCGAGCCCCACTCTCTCCCCGCCCGCCCCCCGCAGCTCTCCGGACCGAGCTTCCCTCTCCGCAGCAGAGCGGCTCCCCGGCCCTGGCCCCGCAGCAGCAGCTGGGATATAGAGGCGCTCAGCAGCCTGTAACTCCCGGCCATGCAGAGCGGGAGAAGCAACACGGCGCCCGGACACCCAGCAGGTAGAGCAGGGAGCAGCCTCAGCAGCCCAGAACCACACGCAGGACTAAAGCTCCCACTGACACTCGCAGCGTCCACAGACCAATGGCAAGCGGGCGTCAGCTGCGTGGACTACAACTCCCGGCAACACTCGTAGCTCGCAGGCCAATCGGAGCCAAAATCCTAAGCAAACATTGCGTGTTACGGTTTCCGGCGTGAACAGTGTTACGTACAACCAATCAGAGCTTTCGGAAGATTCCGGGAGAACTACCAACCCCGGCATGCTGTGCGACCCCAGCACGGGTCATACGGGCAGTTAGGTCATGGTGACTTTGCTGTCAGGTCATCCGGTCATTAACATAAGGCTGCTGGGTATTGCACACAGAGCCACCGTGTCCCCCAGGACACGGCATTTCCTCATCCAGTACTGATGGACAGCGATTTAACCCCTTAAGGACTGAGCCAAACATACACGTTGTGAACCAAACCTGGCATTTGCGCTACACGTCTGTCCAACCGTAATACACCTCTTTCATAGTAAATGCACCCACCCTTATTATATATCATTTTATTCAGGGGAAACAGGGCTTTCATTTAATATCAAATATATAGCTATGAAACATAATTTAATATGAAAAAAATGGGAGAAAATAAGAATATTTTTTAGTTCTACATGACATTTTAACGGTCAATGTCATAATACGGTTTGCTTTTACTGCAATAAAATACACATATTTGTATTCAGCAAAGTCTCATGTGTAAAACAGTACCCCCTATGTACAGGTTTTATGGCATTTTGGGAAGTTACAGCGTCAAATATAGCACGTTACATTTGAAATTGAAATTCGCCAGATTGGTTACATTGCCTTTGAGACTGTATGGTAGCCCAGGAATGAAATTTACACCCATAATGGCATACCATTTGCAATAGTAGACAACCCAAGGTATTGCAAATGGGATATATTTAGTCTTTTATAGTAGTCATTTGGTCACAAACACTGGCCAAAGTTAGCGTTAATATTTGTTTGCGTGTGAAAAATGCAAAAAACGCCCATTTTGGCCAGTGTTTGTGACTAAGTGGCTACTAAAAAAGACTGGACAAACCCCATTTGCAATACCTTGGGTTGTCTACTATTGCAAATGGTATGCCATCATAGGGGTAATTTTCATTCTTGGGCTACCATAGGGTCTCAAAGGCAACGTAACCAATCTGGCGAATTTTAATGTGAAAAAAATGAAACACAAGCCTTATATTTGACTCTGTAACTTTGAAAACACCATAAAACCTGTACATGAGGGGTACTGTTGTACTCGGGAGACTTCACTGAATACAAATATTTGTGTTTCAAAAGAGTAAAAAGTATCACAGCAATAATATCGTCCGTGTAAGTGCTGTTTGTGTGTGAAAAATGCAAAAACGTCACTTTTATTGGCGATATCATCATTGTAATACATTTTATTGTTTTGAAACACTAATATTTGTGTCGAAGTCTCCCGAGTAAAACAGTACCCCCCATGTACAGGTTTTATGGTGTCTTGGAAAGTTATAGGGTTAAATATAGTGCTAGCAAATTAAATTCCCTATACTTTCGCCATGGGTTGTCAGGCAGATCCCGCTAATTGTAATTAATTAAGATACCTAATTATGTAAAAATATTACATAAATATATATGTAGAATTAATATATGTATATATATATATATATATATGTATATATATATAATTTTTTCAAAATATTTTTATTTATATATAGGTATATATACGTATATATATATATTATTTCGTTCTATGTGCATTTTGATATAAATATATATTAATATCACAATACAGTTAGAACGAAATAACACACATCTATATATTTTTAATTATTTTTTAACGTATTTAAATTTTTTTTATATTATATATAAATATATATATAACAATAATTATATATATTTAATCAGTATCAGTTTACGTGTAATTTGATATTAATATATATAATTATATATATATTAATAGTAAAATACACCTAGACAGTGTGTGTGTGTGTATGTGTATATACTGATCTAAGTATATAATTTTTTTTTTACACTGATTTTAATTTAATTTTATTTGATTTCCAGCCAGCAGGGCTTTTTTATATTATATATAAATATATATATAACAATAAATATATATATATATTTAATCAGTATCAGTTTACGTGTAATTTGATATTAATATATATATATATAATTATATATTAATAGTAAAATACACCTAGACAGTGTGTGTGTATATACTGATCTAAGTATATAATTATTATTTTTTACACTGATTTTAATTTAATTTTATTTGATTTCCAGCCAGGAAGGGGACTAACTGTCATTACAGGCAGTCCCCATGCTGGCAATGCAGCAGCCAGCTAACCCGGCCATGTGATTGCTAGGTCCTCGCAAGGACCTCACTCTCACATGGCCGGGGAGGAGGCAGGATCCGCCGCGGGGGACTCCCTGGGATCCCAGGTGAGTCTCCCCAACCGCGATCGCCGGCGATTGGGTAAGTAAAAAAAAAAGGAGGGTGTACTACTACGCTCTGCGGCATTTAGAGCCACTTAGAATAGGGCGTAATAGTACGCCCTCCGGTTTTAAGGGGTTAAAGGGACACTATAGTCACCAAAACAACTTTGTCTTAATGATTCAGTTTTTGTGCATAGATCATGCTGCTGAGGTCTCGGTGCTGACACTATAGTCATCAGAACCACCACAGCTTAATGTAGTTGTAGTAGAGAAAAGACAGTAATAACATTGCTGCCTAGGAACGCCACTAGTGGAAGTCACTCAGACGGCCACCAGAGGTACTTCCTGGGTCAGTGCTGCACGTACACATATCTTATAGAGATGCAATGATTCATTGCATTTCTATGAGGAGATGCTGATTGGCCAGCGCAGCATTTGGCTGTGCCCTGCCTCCTCATTAGAATTCACAATTTCAGCCAATCCAATGCTTTAGATTGGTTGAGATAGTAAATTCTGATGATCTCAGACAAGAAGTTTGGCCTGCGTAGCACTGAAATAAAGGTAATTTTTATCCTATATACGGGGGGGTGGGTGGCACTTTGCAGCTAAATTATTTTGTGTTGTAGGTTATCAGGCACATCAGCTGGTTCCACATTGAAAGTGTAGCAAAGATGTTCAATTCCATTTGTTTGCTTTTCACGTCCCTGAATCTTTCACTAAATGCCTCAATTAGTTTTGCACTTTCACCAGCATATTCTAGTGTCGTAGAAGGCTTTTGTCCTTCCAGAGTGGGGAAATGTCATGTTTTTCTTCTCAATTTGCACTTTCCACAGCCTAATTTAGCTTCAAATGATTTCACGTTTGAAAGCAGTGAGCTGAGAAGCAGGTTTGGGTCCTGCAGCTTGACGTTCAGCTGTGAGAGGTACTTGGTAATGTCCACCATGAATGCTAGATCACACAGCCACTTGCTATCATTGAGTTCCATGACAGGTTTTCCCTTCATCTCCATGAACTGCTTGACTTCATCCTGAAGGAGAGATGCACTTTCTCAGAGACTCTTTTGACGAAAGCTTTACTTTCCAGAGTTATACTCATTTGTTTTATTACTAATATTACATTTAAAAAAGCCTGAATTATTACTCACTTCGATCTTCACTTTGTGCAAATTTTGGTCTACGATACATGGGGGGTGTATTGCCAATACAATCAGGCTCTTGAACACGTGAGTGTGATCATTTTAAAACCTTTTCTGGATATTCTGTTGAAAATATAGAGACTGTTCCTCCTACATAGGGTCACTTGGCAGATATGGATTGACACCTGTCCACAGAGCCCCTGATACACCCTGACACAGAGCAGAATAGAGACTGTTCCTCCTACATAGGGTCACTTGGCAGATATGGATTGACACCTGTCCACAGAGCCCCTGATACACACTGACACAGAGCAGAATAGAGACTGTTCCTCCTACATAGGGTCACTTGGCAGATATGGATTGACACCTGTCCTCAGAGATCATGATACACACTGACACAGAGCAGAATAGAGACTGTTTCCCCTACATAGGGTCACTTGGCAGATATGGATTGACACCTGTCCTCAGAGACCATGATACACACTGACACAGAGCAGAATAGAGACTGTTCCCCCTACATAGGGTCACTTGGCAGATATGGATTGACACCTGTCCTCAGAGACCATGATACACACTGACACAGAGCAGAAAAGAGACTGTTCCCCCTACATAGGGTCACTTGGCAGATATGGATTGACACCTGTCCTAAGGATCCCTGATACACACTGACACAGAGCAGAATAGAGACTGTTCCTCCTACATAGGGTCACTTGGCAGATATGGATTGACACCTGTCCTCAGAGCCCCTGATACACACTGACACAGAGCAGAATAGAGACTGTTCCTCCTACATAGGTCACTTGGCAGATATGGATTGACACCTGTCCTCAGAGACCATGATACACACTGACACAGAGCAGAATAGAGACTGTTCCCCCTACATAGGGTCACTTGGCAGATATGGATTGACTGTTCCCCCTACATACACACTATTGGATCTCGCAAAACTTACCAAGGATCTAAATCATGTTCCCGTATCGTACATGAAAAACCTACTCATACAAAATCTCTTCCCAAACGTCATTTCGTTCAAAGTGGAGAGAATGTAAAAAAAAATATTTTTGTTCTGAGTGTGAGAAATGCTTTTCAGCCGCTTCCAATCTTAAGCATCATTTGAGGAGCCATACAGGAGAGAAACCTTATTTTTGTTCTGATTGTGGGAAATATTTCTCTCAAAGAGGCCACTTTTATATTCAATCTATAACAGTGAAAAAAGTTTTTGGTTTTAAATGCAAGCTATTGTGACACCAGTGAGTGAGTGGTGGCACTGGGCACAGTATCCACTGTGAGCCTGACACACCCGCTTTGAGACAACTAACTGCTATTCAATCTATAACAGTGAAAAAAGTTTTTTGGTTTTAAATGCAAGCTATTTTGACACCAGTGAGTGAGTGGTGGCACTGGGCACAGTATCCACTGTGAGCCTGACACACCCGCTTTGAGACAACTAACTACTATTCAATCCATAACAGTGAAAAAAGTTTTTTGGTTTTAAATGCAAGCTATTGTGACACCAGTGAGTGAGTGGTGGCACTGGGCACAGTATCCACTGTGAGCCTGACACACCCGCTTTGAGACAACTAACTGCTATTCAATCTATAACAGTGAAAAAAGTTTTTTGTTTTTAAATGCAAGCTATTGTGACACCAGTGAGTGAGTGGTGGCACTGGGCACAGTATCCACTGTGAGCCTGACACACCCGCTTTGAGACAACCAACTGCTATTCAATCTATAACAGTGAAAAAAGTTTTTTGTTTTTAAATGCAAGCTATTGTGACACCAGTGAGTGAGTGGTGGCACTGGGCACAGTATCCACTGTGAGCCTGACACACCAGCTTTGAGACAACTAACTGCTATTCAATCTATTTTAGTGAAAACATTTTTATTTTTTTTAAATGCAAGCTATTGTGACACCAGTGAGTGAGTGGTGGCACTGGGCACAGTATCCACTGTGAGCCTGACACAGAAGCTGGCAGGCAGGCAGGCAACTGCAATTACATTACACAGGAAAAAAAAAAAAAAAGCAGACTGATGTTCTAGCCCTAAAAGGGCTTTTTGGGGTGCTGTCCTTACAGCAGAGATCAGATGAGTCCTTCAGGACTGTAGTGGACACTGTATACCCTAACCTAGCTATGCATTTCCCTATCTAATCAACAGCAGCTACACTTTCCCTCCTCTCACTAAGCATGCAGCTTGAGAATGAATGTAAAATGGATGCCTTCCAGTAGGTGGGAGGGTCTGCTAGGGAGGGTGTGCTGCTAATTGGCTGGAATGTGTCTGCTGACTGTGAGGTACAGGGTCAAAGTTTACTCAATGATGACGAATAGGGGGCGGATCGAACCGCGCATATGTTCGCCCACCGTGGCGAACGCGAACATGCTATGTTCGCCGGGAACTATTTGCCGGCGAACCGTTTGGTGCATTGTTGCAGTGTAAGCATGCAGAAGCCAAACACAGAAATATTGGACACAGGTCTTCAGGAAGTAACAGGCCTTTATTCACATTACCGATCGGGTCTCAGATGAACTCCTGTTCCAAAGGATCTGAGAGACCAACACATAGTGTACATTCCTTATATAGCACTATAACTCCTCCCATTAATAGCTACACCCACATATACCTTTAACCAATCAATGAGCAGAATATAGACTTGTACATCTAGTCAAACCACATGGCCCATCCAAGACAAAGGAAATAAGTGCAATTTCAGTTCCTGCATTCCTGCACATGCTCAGTACACTGATGACAGTATCCTAGCTACATGTAGCTAACCAACTGACACAACATACACATATGCCACATGGAAATCTTGGCCTACTAAATTTTAACCATGCTGGAATCCCATCACATTCCCCCCTTTGATGCCTCTGATATAACATTATTCCAGATGCATCACCAATCACATTTTTACCTACATCTCTCAAGTAGCCATTGATCCAGAGTAGACCTTGTAAGCATCTTAAAAACTCCTTCAACATTCCTCATCCTGAATATATTCTCTTTGGACTAGGGGATCATATCTATAGACAGCCATTACATGAGCCGCTGTCTTTCTCTCTATAGTACTCTCTATAATACTACGTAGGGACCTTACCACTAGTGGAATTAGACAGGGCAGGAGGAGGCACAAAAAAAATATAATAAATTCTACTCCTCCTACTAATGTCTTAATTCCTCCAAGCTGCTCATACCAACTTCCAAACCAACTACTTAGGTTATACCCATTCCAGACCTGAGTAGGTACATGCTCAAATTTAACCATGTGGCTTGTAAGTTCAGCCACTGCCTGCCCTTCATCATCTATGTGCAGACAACAGTTACTTAGATTAAACTTTCCGCATACACCTCCTTCTACTGCTAGTAAGTAATCAAGGGCTAGCCTATTCTGGTATATGGCTGATCACATCTTGGTATTTTGCTTAGCTAGAAGATTAAGCACTTGAGCTGTCTCATTAGTAATAATCTCAACTACCGCCTGTAGTCTAATAATGCGGTTGAGCATATATAATCGGAGTTCTATATCCATAAGTGCCATCTTCTGCCCAAGTAGCAGGTCCATAATAATTAATAATACGTTGAGGGGGCCACTCATTATCTTCCCAGCTACCTGTATTCAAGGATGCTCTCTCCCTTTTATGATTTACATCGTAAACCTTAACTCCCAAGGTCTCTCCTGTTTCGATTGGCAACAAGAAGAAGGATGGCTTTGGCATACCTAATACACATGCCCCTTCCCAATCTTGTGGTAACTCCGAATAAGTTTTCTTACCACAGATCCAGTATAAATTTGCTGGGGCTTTCCAACTAGATGTAGCCGATAAGTCAAACCATACCTCCCTTAAATGAGTGTAATTGGCAAACGGATTAGTAGGTTCCGAGACATTTGAAGCTGACCACCAAGTAGTATTTTAGTATTAACATTATAGGCTTTTTGTCCCAAGCACGTTAGCTCACCTACAGACGTGTTATACATTGTCCCTTTCCTGGCTATACAAACATGACCTATAATGGAGGTTTTTAACCACCATTCCAATTTACTTCTAGTACTTACTTGATGATCAGACTGGAAAGGTATCTGTTGTTCATATGTCTCAGAGCCAGGGTACCATATTTCCTTTGCCTCCCATGGCCACTGGTCTCCCATATTAGTACCTCCACACACATAGCAATTAGTTACATTAAGACTACCTGCAATACCCTCAGCCAAATCAATAAATAGGTTGTTAACATTATGGGGAATTTTATCCTCAGTACTCATCTCCTCATAGAAGGAATGAGAAACCTGATGAGTTTGAGTTGCCACTGTCTCAGTTTCAAGACCTACATATATTATTGTTCCTGAATCTACTCCTGTGCCATATATTTGAAACCCAAACAGACCTCCAAACCTGTCAATAAAGTACTGCAGATTGGAAATGGTCATGTGAACGGGGTTACACACATAGTTTTACAGTATGGTGTGGTAGGCAACCTTTGGATAATCATATCTTGATCCACTGTTTTTCCCAGGTTGCCCAACCTACACATGACAAATAGGGGCAGAAGTTAGTCTCTATTTGGGCAATCAGGATCAGTAGATCTTTTACTGGGACATAAGTATTTATCATTAAACCCATAAGTTCGTTCCCATTTAAGATTACCACATACATTCCAAAGTCTTCCACTACCCGAAATCGCCTTACATGCATCAAATAGTAGAATACCCGTGGAATGTATGGTGCTTATCACAGTCCTATTTAGTAATGTCCCCTGGGAGTTACTATTCCGAATTACCAACCAAATTGTACGGGGTTGGAAATGGGGATCAAAACATTTAGACTCTCCTGATATTAGCTTGCACACACTATAATCAATATCCAAATATCTACATTTAGATACAGATCCCTTACATTCATACTGTGAGTGCCAGATGAGAGTTTGGGATATTTGGTTACCTGTTTTAGTAGTCTTAATGCAACTATCGCAATTCGGTATGTCTGTACTCCTACCTTCCTGAAAAATCATAAAAATACTAAGACACAATAAAACACATTATTCCTGAAATCCTCATTTTTCTTCGACCGTGCGATGGCCTCTCAGCTTCCCGATTGTGAGGGCTGCAAGGATGTTGTTCTTCTGATCCTCACTTTCCTTCACAGAGATCCCTTCAAGATACTCTGGCTATGACACGTAGGCAGGTGGTCAGGCTTTATTATGGCCGTCAAAACACCTACTTGATGATCTTTGTAGACTTTTAACTAGAATGTCTCGATATCCCCTCGTCACTCCGACTGAGTTGCACGCTTCAACCGGGTCCTGCAAGGATTCTCAGGATCTGGAGGAGCTTGCCAAGAGTCTGCTGCTGGTTTAACCTTAGAATGATGAATCCAAGGAGTCACTTCCGCCACCTTTACAGCTGTTGGGGTAGATAAAAGAACAACATACAAAGGCTAACAGGATACACCCCGAGCTTTAACTCAATATGTATTGGTGGGATATTACGAGCAAGTCCTGGAGGATTATTTTCTTCCCATACTCCTGGAATGTCAAGTAAGGATTCATCACTCTTAGGGTTAACACTTGTCACTATGGAATAGAAGCGTCATTCTTCTTCCCTTGGCACCGATATCGCCATTATGCCTGGTAATCCCTTAAACTTCAGAGATGTTAATCCATTAGGTAAAAGGTTATCTGAGCTTAAAGCTTCGATAATAGATCTCGTCCTAAAAGTTGAATCGGACACTCTGGCATATATAGGAACTAATGCTTCACCACATGGCCTCCCAGAATACAAGTGCGACTCTTAAGAACCAGTCTAGCTGCACTTCTCCCAGTAGCTCCTATCACAGTTATAGTCTTCCCCGAAGGCGGAGCCACCATCTTAGTCACCACAGAATGTTCAGCACCTGTGTCGATCATGAAAGAACTTCTCTTTCCTCCTATTGCTACATCGACCATAGGCTACGCTCGACCAAGTGGGATGGAGCCCGGTCGGTATAAATAGTCTTCCATGATAGTGTCAGCCAGACCCACAAAATCTCTATCCTCTCTTTCTCTAGGTCTCTGCGTGGGTGGATAGTATCTGTCTCCTTGAACACTTCCTCTACTATTCCCACCATTCCCTCTAAAACTTCCTCTTCCTCTATAACTACCACTATAACCTCCTCGTACCCTTCTCACTCCTTGTCTACCACCTTCATACTGCTCTCTCTGTGGACACTCACTCTTCCAATGTCCCTCCTTTCTACAATACGCACATTGATTCCTACGTAGAGGTCCCTTGCTCAGCCCATTCTCGTCTCCTCTATTTACTTCCCTGTCTTTCTACACTTGAGATAGCTACCGCTAGCATATCTGCCTTTTTCCTCATTTTACGTTCTTGCTCCCACTTTACCTCCGTCTCCCTATTCATATATACTTTATTTGCAATCTCCATTAGCTGTATTATGGACATCCCTACAAATCCCTCTAATTTCTGTAATTTCCTTTTAATATCACCTTGGGCCTGGCTGACAAATGCTGAGTCTATAATTCGGAAGTTTTCAGGGGCCTCTGGATTAAAGGGAGTATACAACCTATTTGACTCAAGCAGTGTCTAATATGGGACTTCGGCAAGGCTGCCCAATAATAGGTTCCAGTCTAGGATTAGTAAAATAGGTGAAAGGGGGTGAGCTAATTTTATTAGTCGGCATTTGGTGGATGAAAAAACGTTTTTGTTTAAAGTGTTAAACCAAAAACCTACCAGTAGGTGTCACCAGAGGGTAATTGTATCAAAATAATCTTTATGGGTCTAATAAGAAAACTCAACTTTTAATATATTTATACATAAAATAAAACCTTATAGCAATAAATATATTAAAATAGGGTAAGCAATCCTACTTCTATCTGTTATAAACAATGTAATATCAATGTAACTCCCGAAGATGGCCAGTAGGTGGCTTAGAGTGCCTCCCTAAAGTCAAATGAAACAAATAGACTTTAATTAATTATGTCCTATTTTATTATTACTTATTTTAATCAATGTCCACCCTGATATCTAGGCTTGATTAAATCTTTAGTTCTAAAGTAAATTAAACATCTCAGTTTGTAGTTTAGTAAAAGGGGACATTTTGGACAAAGCTGGGAGGGGCCCATCCAGTAACTAAAAAAAAACCAATATACCATCTGATACCATTGATCATTGATTAGGGGGAGGGGTAGTACAGAAATACAAGAGTTTGAAACACAGGAACAGATAGGTATGTGGGTAGGCGGGGACAGTAGAGCAGGGAGAGTGCAAATACTGATTATACCAGCCAGAAATGGGCGTGGCTAATCTGGCTCTGGAGGATGTTTGGGGGGTTGGTAATCAGATGCCAGGGGGGGAGGGGATGTCCAAAGCAGTTGTAATTAAGTCCTTAGTTCTGACCACCATATGGCTACATTGTTTCCCATATGACACAGTTTAATTCACCAAGGCAATTTTTCAACAAATGTACACCCTGCACTAAACTTAAGTGAAGACTGCTACATGGAGGCCATGCGGCCACCAGGACAAGCTACTCCCTACTTTTTTTTTTTTTTTAAACATACAAGACAAAAGACTAACAGCCTAGTGAATCAGATTATTTCAACAGAACGTCTGATTCAAAAAGCTGTACAAATATACACACAGTTTCAACAGTCACACCAATCTCCTTATCACCAGCAACACATTGCGCAGTCACTAGGCCCAAACACACACACAGGATCCTCACATGCTCAACAATATCACGACGTCGCACACACAAAATTAAATCAAAAACCCACCAAAGACTATACACTTATCAATGTAACTATTATTCAAACCATACAACTATCCACGCTATTAATCCATATAAACTAACCGATCACATAACATTTCAACAGATTTCATCTCTACAATTATCTGTACTATAAATCAACTCTTGACTAACCAACTATATCACATTCTAGTAACCTCATCTTTACAGTCAGTGGTTATGGTACAGTTAGTAAGTGGTTATAATACAGTTTTAAAGTCACAGATCAGTTAGTAACAGTTATGGTATTATACATATAACATAAAACAGCAATTGTTAGTAATTTTTACACAATGTCAGTGGTTATGGTACATGTCAGTAGTTATGGTACCGTGCGCTATTTTACAGTTATACACACAATTTACACTCCCACTAGACAGCAGAGCTCTAACTTTCTAGTAGGACATACAAGTTAACCAATTCACCAACTACAATATATTTAACAACATTTACAATAATCCCAACTATTCTAACTGGCCAGCACCTCGAGAGCTTTCGATCTATTTATACACCAGAGATTCGATAAGTTCTTCGCTGCCCAGACACCACGTATAGCGAACTAGAGGGCAGAATTTACACAGTACCCAGCTAGTCTATTAAACTATCAATAAGCTAGTGGCTGGATTTACAACAGAGCACACTTAGTTAAGATAGGGTGAAATCTAGCAAACTATAATATACAACAGAGTATGCTAGTCTCCCGGTCCCCCCGACCTAGCGAACAAAATTTACACCCTAGATACGCTAGTCAAGACAGGACACCGGTGTCCGACATGAGCTATTTACACCAGAACTCAGTCTGACCCAAACCACCTATATTAGACGGGCTGACTACAGAGCGTCTAATTTCCAGATAAGTGTTGCGCTTTTCACTTCTTCCATCCATAAGGACAGGGCAGATTCCAATAACCGGTTCCAAATATAAAACCCCTTGTGGGTCTACCGCTCTAACGGTATCAATCTTACCTGTTAGTCCTGGACCTGGGTTCACTCATAGACGGAACAATCTGGGACTCACTGCGCAGAAGCCGATGATCTCCTGGACAAAAGGCCAGTGGCGCCGAGACGAAAGGAGGTCCACGCAGTAGAAGTCCAGGATTGTAGCGTAGAAGGTTTGGTAAAAGTTTACCATCTCAAATCTCTGTGCCAGCTTCCGTGCGATGAGGTTCCCGGCCCAATTGCACCAGAAATGTTGCAGTGTAAGCATGCAGAAGCCAAACACAGAAATATTGGACACAGGTCTTCAGGAAGTAACAGGCCTTTATTCACATTACCGATCGGGTCTCAGATGAACTCCTGTTCCAAAGGATCTGAGAGACCAACACATAGTGTACATTCCTTATATAGCACTATAACTCCTCCCATTAATAGCTACACCCACATATACCTTTAACCAATCAATGAGCAGAATATAGACTTGTACATCTAGTCAAACCACATGGCCCATCCAAGACAAAGGAAATAAGTGCAATTTCAGTTCCTGCATTCCTGCACATGCTCAGTACACTGATGACAGTATCCTAGCTACATGTAGCTAACCAACTGACACAACATACACATATGCCACATGGAAATCTTGGCCTACTAAATTTTAACCATGCTGGAATCCCATCACAGCATCACTAGTGGCTGTCTCTCTGACAGCCACTAGAGGCCGCTTCCGCGATTATCAGTGTAAAAAAATCGCATTGAACTCACGCAGCTGAGTTCATATCCCCATAGGAAAGCATTGAGTAATGCATTCCTATGGGCGGTTTAAATGCTCGCGGCTCTGGCCGTGCATGTGCATTCGGTTCCACTCAGGAGCTGACATCGGCAGGGGGAGGAGAGGTCACCAGTGCTGAGGGAGCTCAGCGCTGGATTAAGGTAAGTGGCTGAAGGGGTTTCAACCCCTTCAGCCCAGCGGGAAGGGGGGACCTAATAATCCTATAGTGCCAGGACAACGGGTTTGTTTTCCTGGCACTGTAGTGCTCCTTTAATATTGGAGGTAACTGAGGGAACATTCTATAAGAAAAATCTTTTAATGAATAAACCCCCAAAGAGTAAAATGTAGTGAACTCCAAACTGAATTGCAAAATAAGGCTTAAATAGTCCAGCTGTGACTATAAATGGGTTGGTGATTTTTTTTTTCTAATGCAGCTATGGCCTACATGCCTATTGCAACCTTGTTTTCATTTTCTTACTGTTTTGTGAATGACCCACTTTGTCTATTTTGTTCCATAATTCGCCATTCCTCCCTCTCCAGTCTCCAATGAACAAATTATTGAATAACTCTACAACTATTTTTTCCCTATTTGTGCTTTGTATGAATTTTCACCCTGAATAAAGTTGTTGAAGGAAAAAAGAGGCAGTCTGCAGCGTGTGGTTCACACCCCCATCCCTGGCAGAAGGATTCCAGCTGCTGTTTGGAGTGGGCTGTCAGCTCCTGCTCTCTGCTCCTGTTCCTGCTGCTGTCGCCTTAGCAAGGAGATGAGCTTCTTGTTGTGAGTGTCATTGTCACTGTGTCAGACCTATGCAGTGCCAGGCTGTATTCTCTGCATTGTTACATTGTATCTATTCCCATGTCATCTCTCTTTCTCTTCCATTGTCGCAGAGGGGATGCATTCATTGTCACCCAGAATTAACTCTGCTCATGGAAACTGTGGCTCATGTCCTTTGTCTGTTATTATGAACTAGAAGGTACAGCCTGTATACTGTCATGATGTTGGGCTCTTGCATCCAATGGGGTTTGTTCACTGAACAGTGAATTGTGGAAAAGTGGCTTCTGGATTGCAAAATGTATCCACCAGCTGCTAAGTTTCTAAATGTTTGTTTTTAACTTAATTTTTTTTGGCCTACATTTAACAATCAGGTTTTCAGTTTCCTGTTCAATAGATAAATCCTTAAATTATATGAACAGCTCAATGTATGCATTATGTGCAGTCCATCCACAGCTTTATCTATGTACAATGCTTAGAAGCGCATGCAAACTAGCTGTCAGTTTCACATCACTTAGATCTAGTCCTGCTTGTTTATCCTTTGACACGCTTTCATAATCATTAATTAACTATTCTATTAATATATTTACAGCAGTGCAGCCAGAAACCTAGAATGTGCTTTGGCTATTTTTGTCTACGTTTTGCCATTCAGATGTTAATTTGCTACACAGTGGAGTTTAGTGACAGAAGTGTACCTTTTGGAATAATGTATGGCTGCTTACAAAAAAAAAAAAAGAAATGATAATTTTTAATTTTCATTTACAACTCACAGT